TTATTTGCATTTATTAAGAAGTGAAAAGATGATGAGCCTTTTGGCAAAGATTGTTTCTGTTTGGGTAGAGCTGCCATTTGACTGAGATTCAGAAACCACTTTCATAGAAGGTAAAGTTGCTGACTTCTTCTTTGGCCCAGTCTGATAAGAGCAACTTCTACCTCCTTTCTTTGCACTACTCGGTCCCCCAGCCCCTGGGAAAGGGTTCCCGTCACAGGTAGACCCGCCTCCGGCAGGTTCCCTGGATGAGGGCCCAGCATCCGAGAGCACAGGCAGAGGAGCGGCAGCTCCACTGTCCATCCAGTCCACTCCCTGGACGAGGAGGAAAGGAGAATCTTGAGAGCACGACTCACCCGAGGCAAAGTAGAGTAGAAAGCAACTTCTCCTCAAACCACAGCCCACTGGCAGACTCAGTTACGCAGGGTCAAGGTGTGAGCAGGGTTGCACTCCCTCCAAAGATTCTTTCGTTGTCCCTCCTAGTTTCCAGTCATTCGTGGCTTGTACACACATGACCCCAATCTCTGCCTCTATCTTCATATGGCATTCTCTTCTCTGTGTGACTGTGTCCAAAATTTCTTCTCAAGGAACTGGCCATCGGATTTAGGGCCGCTCTAACTCACTATGACCTCATGTTAACTTGATTGCTTCTCCAAAAAACCTATTTGCAACTAAGATCAAAGGTACTGGGTGTTCAGACTTCAACGTGTCTTTTTGGAGGACATACTTCGACCCAAACCATCCTTCCCCACATGCAGGGCAGACATCAATGACCCATCATGGGATTTTCTATAAAGTGGACCGGACATCACAGTCTTTCCCAGCACAGCTGTCCTGGCTGTGCTTCTGAGCACGCAGAGCCAGCACCTCAGGTGAGACCAGGTTGCCCTCACAGGTCGCGCTAAAGGAATGAGTCTGTAATGATGGATCTGGCCCGTGGCGATGCGCTGGTGGAGAAGATGCTGCCAGCACCCTTCCAGCCTGGTGCAGGTGGTCTTCGATGCTCTTTATGCTTAAGAGGGGTCCTGCTGGGGAGTTGTCCTGGACAACTCTGTCACCAGACCGTCTCCCCTGGCCCAGCAGGAACATGATCACGGCCTCGGATCACAGGAGGAAAGGTCCCGCTGCTTCGTCTGAGTGTACAACCCACAGGCATCGTAGCATGGCCTGGTTCCAACTTCAGTCCCTGCATACATTTCCCCTCCCTGCAACCCCCTGCAAACTGGAAATAGTGATACACAGACATCTCACAGAGCTGTGGGGCAATTTAATTAATGTTTATAAAGCACTCTGAGGTCTTTGGACGAAAACTGCTGTGTAAGTGCAAAATTATTATTAGTTCCCAGCCTCCTGTCCCTTGGCATCCGACCTGGCTTTTGTTGCTCCTGAATGGGAGCCGCTTAGGCGCTGTCCAGCTGGCTCTTGTGGGGACCTGGGCACGGACATGCACATTTGCAGATTTCTTTCCTTTTGAAAAAAGCCTTCCAACTCTGTGGGATGTCTCAAAGCATTTCAATGTCTGAATTTCTCTCCACTTGTCTACTAAGTACTGTAATCTACAGAATAGATTGTAAACAGGCTACTTTGGAAAAAGAGTGAGGGGGGAAATGGCCAATTTGAAAGAATGGCCCCTCTTATAATGAAGACTAAAATAATACCTCCTCCTCGTGGAGAATCTAAATGAACCACTAAGTGAGGTCTGTCTCCCTTGCCCTGAGGGATTCTGCTCGTGTTTATGCATCGAAAGAATACATTTGCTTTCAGTGCCCAGCTTCCGCCACCTCCCTTCACCCCAACTTCTCAGGAACCACGAAAACAAAGGCACCCCACCTAGATGATGTTCTCCTCATAGTTCTTGGTTTCCTGTGCGTTTGCCTGGGAGTCCATGAGGAGAATGAAATGAAGAAGTGGAAAAGAAAAAAGGTACATCTGCAAGTGAGATGGCTTCTCTTTGGAGAGGACGGGGCTCGTGCCTGACTTCTCAATCGCTGGGGCAACTAACATCATATGGCACTGGACTTCTTTTCTCTAAAACGGATTCATACCTACCCTGTGTTACCCACACACGACCCACTAGGCCCCCTTGAAAGTATTTTTGATTTATCTTAATGTTTTATTAGCAGGGTCTGTTAGTCAGCCAACTGCTGGAAGATTTCATTTTTAAAAATCGCTAAGGAGCAATTATGTAGCATGTAATCACTTGAACAAAAGTATAAAGGCACAGAACCCACAAAAGATGCAAATGTTAGCTACATGACTGTAAACACAGAAAAACAAACCTGAAGAGCTGGGGCGATGCACTCCACGTTTCCTAAAGCAACCAACCAGTGATCAGACATAAAAACAAATCGCAGAGCAGAACCCGGGAGTATTCTGCTGAGGCAGGACGGTGGAGGCAGGACGGTGGAGGCAGGAGTGGAGACGGGTGGGTAAAACCGGCTCCCGCCCCGGGCCGCCTGTGCTCTGACACCCGGGGACTTCTGCCTCTACGATGATTACGTTCTGCCTGTTGCATAGAGGTCAAGACAGAGGAATAATTTTTCTCTCCATTCTGTTGTTTTTTTAAAAAGGAAAGGCGACCTAAGTAAAAAATAAGAGAAATACGTACAGCAGCTCAGATCCTAAGAAAACCGAGGACTAAGAATCGAAGAGAAACCGCGGAGCCAGCTCGATCCCAGGCTCCTCCCCTCCACCGTCCACGTGCGCCCGGCTTCCGTCTGCTTCCCTGACCGGCTCCTGCTTCCCGTTCCTGCGGCCTCTTCATTTCATCTTGCACTTTATTTTCCTGGTTATCGTCCTAGAAATGAATCTAATTATATGGCTCCTTAACCCAGAACTCTTCGACACGGCCCCACTGTGCAAATTCCCTACAACTTGTCCGTCTTCCCTTTACTGCCTCCTTCCTTCTTGGCCTGGACTGTGGGTGCCCCGTACCTACAAAATTCTCCTGTAATTCTCTGTTCACATGTGCTCGCTACCTTTTTGCCACAGAGACTGAGCCCCAGCCATTCCCATGGCCCTTTCCCATTACTACCATTCAAAATCCTGCTGGTCTTCCAAGTTCAAGTTCAAATGGATCCATGGATCCAGTTCTTTAAAGCTTTCTAAGTGCCCCCACATGATTTTGGCCCCTTCCACATGGCTTTTGTGTGTTTGTTCCATTCTTTGTGTAGTTCCCCAATTCTAGGTAAAACAAGTAGCTGGACAGATGGCTCTGCTCTTTTTTGTCCTTCCACTAGATTGTCAGCTCCTTGAAAGGAATGATCGTGTGTGTGTGCGTGTGTGTGTGTGTGTGTGTGTGTGTGTGTGTGTGTGTGTGTGGAGTGCTATGTAAAGTACCCACAACAGTAGTCCCTTCCAACCTTCCAAGTATATGCTCAGCAAATACACTTACATTCCATTTTACCCACTCGACACACATGCTACAAAAAGGCAGGTGGTAGAATTTTAAAGGTGAAAATTTGAGAATAAATATACCTAGTCTCAATAAGACAATAAATAGTAACAATAGACTCTGACCAAAGAAATGACTGATTGTATCTTACCAACCACTTAGATAAAACCTGGCTCTGCAAATGAACAGTGACAAAATTATGAGGAACAACTGTTGTGGAACTAAGCAAACAGCTTCCATCCTAAGATTTGTGGGCCTTTGGCTATTTTTACATGGGAAAGATGGAGAACTGAACAATAGTGAGGTAACGCGGCCAAACGAAGTTGCCGACAAGGAAAGAGCTGGGGAATCAGACAGAACTGCTCTGAGACTCCCAGCCCGGCTGTGCTGGGGGTCACACACCAGCCTCACATGCTTTCTCTGTGTCCACAGGCTGCTGTCACAGCTCATCTGCGAACCCAGCCAATGATCGGGCCCCGCTGGGCTCTGGGAGTGAAGCTCAGTGTTTTCTATGGCGGACCCAGCTCAGGATCAAACCAACCACAGGCCTTCTTCTGGAAGACTGTGGGGCTGGCGTTCGTGTGTTTACGTCTTAAAACATGACAAGAGTGTTATTGTAACTGTAGTTCTAAGAACAAAGATTTCTCTGGCAGTGCAGATGAAAAATTAAATATGGTTTCATCTACCTTCCTATGAAATACCTGGTAGGCCTTACTGGAGGCGGTGGAAAACATCCGCTCTCCTTGATAAAGCCTGCCCTCCTCACCTCTCTCTCTCTCTCTCTCTCTCACACACACACACATGCACACACACAGATATTTTATACCAAATATTAGGAATAATCTGTTGAGTCCAACCAATCTCAAATTTCCATCAAGTTTTCGGCCTGAGTCAGTCTGAACTGATGAAGGGCTTCCCCTCCCTAGTTTTTCAGGTACATGATTCTAATGGCTGCGAAGCATCTGGACTAATCCTCCCAAGGCAGTAGGACTCCCTCGGCAAGTCTTCCAGCACCTTTGCTGAATAGATTCCACTGAAAGGGAGTGCATAACTTTTACAAACATTTTCTGGGCATTCATCTTTATAAAGAGCCATTTTCCAAAGTGGACTCATCTATGATGCTTTTAGAACTATTACAATCACCCACACTGGTTGTTCCGACCATCTGGCGGGTAGCGGACCTATCTGGGACTCCTGAGTAAAACCCCTTGAATCCCAGGGGCAGAGCCCTGGACCTGCCTGCCCTTCTGAAGTGGACACCCTCCTTCTCTCCATTCCTTCTACCTGCGTCATGCACGTGGCCAAGTTGATCACTTACCACCTGGGGCCATGCAACGCCAGGGTGGATTCGGGGCACATCGGGGGGGAGGAGGGTGCCATGTAATAGTGGTCTGCCTGTCGTCACCGTCCTCCCCCTCGGAGGAAGGACTCGGCCAACCTTTCATTTCCAGAATTTCACCTGGGGTTTGGGTTCTCGAACCAGCTTACAGACTTCCTAGCACACATGCCAAAGCCTTAGAAATCATTTTAAATATAAAAAGAAAATGTCCCCTAGTCACATGGATATATTTAATAACATGAAAGCTGAGACACAGGCAAAGACCCTAAATCAACTCGGCACCCCTTTTATTCTCTGACACTGTGGGCAATGCACATGCCACTGAAGGGACACAGTCTCTTTGGAAAACGTGGAGGGAAGCAGCCAAATCTGATAAGAAACACACAATTGCCAAAATAGCAATGTAACTTCAGCGAATTCCCTTCTCCCCAAGTTCCAGTGGCTCATGGAGAGCTTTTGGCTGGTGCTTCAGAGACAGGCCACTGAACTAGCCCTCAGGTCCCCAAAGGAAAGTCTCCTTTGTGGATTTTTTTTTGTTTGGAACAATGCGAAACATAAAAAGTGGAAGTCATTCTCCCCTGCCCCAGAACAGTACTGCAATAGTAAGGATGACGACTCAATAAAGCTTCCAATTTGGATAGTGCTTTATACTTTTTCAGGGTGTCTTCACACACATTATTTCAGTCAACTCATACAACAGCCTCCTGGCTCACAGCTGGGACAGCAGAAACCACCGGACCTCGCCCCCGGTCACACAGGTAGCGGAACTCCTGGGGCCAGCGCCCGACCGCATGACCGGCCCCGAACTTCCCCGGGTCACGAAGCAGATCCTGTCCCGCTGTCCACTCCCCAGTGTCTCTCCCTCTCCACGGTCGGGCTTCTCATCAGTCAGCAACGGCATCTAACTGCGGATACGGTTTCCAAAGGAGAAAAAAACACAAGTCCTTCTTTGAAAAGCATATATGGATTTATAAAAATAAAAGTGGCATTCTTCTTTACTGCTTCTTTGTGGATGCCTTTCCCAGATGAGAAGCCCCTGTTGAGGAACGGGTCACTGACCTGTTATTTCTACGCACACATAATACTCCTTCGTAAAAGCAGAGCCTTTACAGCGGGAAATTATTTGCCAAATATTTCCCACTGTCTCCCAGCGTGGCCTGTCCATTTCTCCCAGACACAAAGCATCTGGGCTAGTCCAAGAACACATAGCAAATTCAAAGAGATGTTTCCCAGATGTGCAGCTGTCCTGAGGAATCTGTCACAGGGCCAGCTCTGGAGAGTCCTACTTCCCAAGACCCTTTTCCCACTGCATCTCATCACAGCTTTCATGTGACTGAAAAAAAAGTCAAAGAGGTCGACCAGACAGCAGAACAGAACACTGAGCGGGTGGCGGGGAAGGAGCAGGACTGGACAGCACCCCGCAGGGCGGCCCCCCGCCGTGTGGCCACGGGATGGTTTTCGACACCCTGGTCACAGACGTAAGGTGGGATCCCCTTCAGATGTTTCAGTCAGGTGGGGGACTTCACAGGAAGGCTGCTGTCTTCGGTGGGGGCACACGCCTCCTGTGTCCTGTGTGACGTAAAGGCACACCGCCGAACCTTCGACTTTGGGGAAAACAGTCCTGCTCACACCAGTTCCGCCTTGGCAAAGGTCACCGGCTCCACAGGCTTGCTTGGGGAGGTGACTGGGAGAAAAGCTCGTTCCATGCCCGGTTTAGAAAACTCTGGAAAAATAGTCTGTCGTGCAAACTTCTGAAAAATAAGAGAGATAAATGAGGAGTGCACAACCGGAAAAATGCATCAATTGTCACCTTGATTTAAACTCCATTCTGGGAGCCCTCGGTGTAACGGCCACCTCACTCGCTCCACAGTGGACTTGGACTAGTTCACTGCTACCCGTAAACTCTGACCAGGGGTCATTTGAAGCCCCCATTGTTAATCATCTGTATGTGAAAATCAGTGTCCATAGAAATAGTCATTTGCAGCAAGAAACTAGTCTTTCACTCTTTAAATTTACTGTCCAGTAAGTCTAATGATCTTATGTGCAAATAACTCTAAGGACCAAATTACAAGCCCCTCGAGAGGAAGAACTATGTCCTCCACCTCTTTGTATACCCTACAGTGCCTAGTTTAGTGCCTTGTATGTAGTTGGTGCTCACAGGGGTCTTTTAATTAACTAATGGCTAAAATAGCAACCGGAGTGATGAGCACACAGCCAGGGAGGCAGGTAAGTGAATAAAGGGACTCAACCAGGGACAAAGAAGAAAAGGAGCCCTGGCACGGCTCCTGGGTGAGATCTATCCCAGTGTGTAGGTAGCCAGTCCATCCTGATGGTGTCGAGACAGATAGGAAAGACCACTTGGTGGTGGGTCCGGCCCAGAGCTGACCCTGTGCCCTGCAACTTGGGCAGCACAGGGGAGCAGCCAGGCAGAAAGAGGCTCAGGGTCTCTGAGCTGGAGGCTGCTGCCAATAGCTCAAAGCCATGTCGACGACGCCTACACACTGGCCAGTCACCCTCCAGCACAGGACACTCTCTGTGCACCCCACTGCTCTGGCTTCTCAGGGTTACTTCTCAAGAAGTGGGCGGAAGTAACAAAACACAAGGAGAGAAGCCGAAAGAGGAAACGGCTCAAGGGCAGGTGAAGGACACTGATCCTGCACAGCTGCTCGCTTGCCCACAAGAACCCTGCCTCTGCCCTGGAGGGTGGAGGGGGTATCGCACTGTCCGCCACTGTAATGGCAGCGCCCTCTGGTGCGTCAGCAGGATCGTGTGGCATTTCTCAAACCGCCTCCACATATCTCACTTCACGTGCCACCTCGGCGCTCTGTGCAGGGCCCCGTGACAAGAAACGAGCAGGGCACTTGCTGTAGAGATTCTCACAGTCTGAGGCCTCAGTAAGCCCAGGGCACGCAGATGCTGTCTCCCTGGCGTTAAATGATTCACACTACAAAACACTCGAATTGGTTCCCCACATGATCTTGTAATAATAACCAGTCTTTTAAGAAAACACTAGCCCCTGGCTGGTGTAGCTCAGCGGATTGAGCTTGGGCCTGTGAACCAGCTGATCATGGTTCAATTCCCAGTCAGGTCACATGCCTGGGTTGCAGGCCAGTTCCCATTAGGGGACACACGAGAGGCAACCATACATTGATATTTCTCCCCCTCTGTCTTTCCCTTCCCCTCTAAAGGTAAATAAATAAAATCTTAAAAAGAAAATACTTACACAAGTGAAAACGATGAGTGTTACGTAAAAAACCACCAAAGCCAACAGCAGTACAATCTCAGCTCTGTATTTCTTAAAAGTCTCTTCTTTGCGCTCCTTACGGCATCCTTAAAAGAAATAAGAGATATATGAAGCCATTTAACAGGACTTTTCTGTTCTCCCAGACTAAAAAGCAAAGATGCTTTGTTCCTGCTTTTTAAGTCCCTGTTGCCATCCCTGCCCTCACATCTGTGCCGTCAGAACAACAGTAACAACAGCAGTGACAGTGGTGGCAGCAGCCCGCGCGCACTCGCCCTCTGCCTCCAGCTGTGTGCTCGGGGACCCACATACTGCGTCTCACTGAACCTCCTGAGGAGGTCGGAGGCCCCCCATTTCACAGAGGGAGGAGCCGAGGCTCAGACAGGCCGAGGGACGAAGGCAGGTGGGAGGGCCAGGCACCGGGTCCAGACTTATCCTGCTGTCCTTCTGCCTCCATTTCAAATGTGTGGTGCTTCCTGACTTTTATTTTGACCAGATGGCAGAGAAACCACCATTCGTTGATCTGAACGTAATCGAACTTCACTGGCATTGTGCAGACTGCCAGGTGTCCTGCATCAGGAGGAGTGCAGAACCTGGAAATGAGGTGGGGAGCCGCCCAGCTATCGCTTTTGTAGAATCACTAAAGCCACTCCGCCAAGGCCAATGGCAAGGGTGGCGTACAGAGCAGCTCCCCAAGGGGCTGTTACGGGCTGTGGTGGCACCACTCTGGGAGGGTGGGTGAAGCGTTCAGCCCAGGAGGGGACATGGTAGAGATGGCTCTCCCCACTCAGGCATGACACCCACTGCGCTGTTTGGAGACGCAAGGTTGCCTGCAGAGTCGACCTAAAGGCCAGGCAGGCGCAGGTGGAGTGCAGATGATTGGGTTCTCCCCAGGGACTACGGATGGGCCTCAAGGAAACAGTCCGCCCCTGAGACAGGATTTAAAACGTAGTGCAATAGCTGGGGATGGATACTCATAGGAATCTGAGACTTCAAGGTTGGGAGCCATCATCCTCACGGTTCCTGACTTTTACTGAGCACTCAGTCTACCCCAGGCACTGTAGTACAATGTCCCATTTAACCTTTGTTACAAGCCCATGCTGTAGAAGTTACCATCCACATTTTAGAGATGAGAGAACCGAGGCTTAGAACCGAACAGAGATTTTCCCAAGATCGCATGCTAAAGAACAACACGGCTAATATCTGCACCAGGCCTCCGTGACTCTAGAGTCTGGCCACTGAACTGGGCAACTTGCAGGCCTTCAAGGAGGAAAGGAAAGAAAATCAGGTTTCCCTTTCATCTCATCTCTGCTCTTCCTGCCAAGTCGCTCTCATTCTCATTCATGTGATAGTATTCATGGAAGCCCACCGTGCACCAGGACACAGCAGAAGACAAAGCAAAGAATGCAGCACGACCTGACATGGTCAAGTTCTACAGAGACAAACAGCTGAGTGAAGGGCTGAGAGCATTATGAGGTGGGGGGATGTTCACGTGTGTGTGTGTGTGTGTGCAACAGTGAACCAAATCCAAACTCTGACCAATGAACAGTGACTGTGTCCTTGGGAGTATCATAGCATTATCTTAAAGTGGACTCCCTTCACATACCCAATAGGAAAAACAGCTATTCTAAAAACTCAGGGGCCTCAGCCCGTGTGGCTCAGTTGTTTGAGCATCGTCCTGTCACCCTGCAAACCAAAAGGTTGCTGGTTCGATTCACGGCAGGGGCAGATGCTTAAGTTGCAGGTTCAGTCCCAGACTGGGACATGTACAGAAGGCAACTGATCAATGTTTCTCTCCCTTTCTTTCTCCCTCCCTTCTCTCTCTCTAAAAGAAATCAAAATAAAATTAAAAATTAAAAAATCTGGGGCTCTGTAATAACATGTATATCATTCAAGCCTTAGCCACTAATAAGAATTGGGTAAAAGTCAAATGCAAGGCATTTTTAAGCTACATAAAGAAGTCATGAAAAAATCCAAAGAGACAACCCTTGCCTTGACAATCAGTCCTTGGAGCAAAAACGGTATTCTGTCACTTTACATCCTTCCTTTACTGTACTCTCTTGTTTTGGCCCGAGTCAAGGTATTGGGAGAGTCCACCACCACCAAGTGGGAGGGAAGTGCTGTTCTCGTGTTGAAAAGGTGGAAACATGGAGCAACTACCTTAGGTCAGGTTAGAAGGCTCCAAAAGAGAAGATTATTATACAGTTACCTGGTGTAGGGGACCACACAATTTCCCCATCTTCCCAAAATTAGACTTGCGCACTTTCTATTTGCTCCAAAGGACTCTTACAGGACTAAACAACAGCCGGGTGCAGTGTCTGACTGCATCTGTCACCTACCCCTGTCAGGCTGGGTAGATCTGTGCTTATTTAAAGTAAAAAAAAAAAAGTCAGGACATTCTTGCGGTAGATTTTAGCTGTCAGCCACAGACGTGATCCAAAGCTTCCAACTTAGGCTCCGACCAAGAGGGGCAATTTTAGGACGTATGGAAAGTGGACATGCATTCTGCAAGAAGCGAGCAAAGACAGCAGGTCACCTCACCTGTCACTCTCAAGGCCACTGTGCCACTTTGGTTTCTCTGCCCTCCTGGCCCCTCCAGAGTGCATCTGTATGTCCCCGAGCTGCAGCTGGTGGCATTTCGGATCTTCAGGGAATACGGCCCTCGGCTGGAGTCCTCAAGGGGGCCCTTCTGCTCCATCCGGTGATAGGTCTGCAGGTCTTCCTGGGGCACCTCTATTGTCTCTTCCCCGCCCTCCGTAAGCTGTTAAAAAAAAGAATCCTGTTGAATCGTGGTGCACTGACAGGCCTGCAGGCACTGGGCCGCCGGGCCAGGGCACCAGCTCCTCTTTCCGTAACACCCATCCCCAACGGTTTTAACACAAGATATTCTGTGGATGTGTGACCTTGGAGGGAGGAGGAGAGACTCTGGCCATTCTTTAAGGCTCTATCTGTTTTGCGATCGGATCAGGACTGCATTTTATGATCCTTCCTTTCCCATCTGTTACCCCACAAAAAAGAGGGTGTTGCCGCTGATGCTAGTGATGTCTTTCTTGGCAGTGACCTGATGAAGTGGGTGAATCACGCTGAACCAAATGTTGTTGCTGGCTGTTCTGTATTGAATGTCCCGTTGCTTTCTTCAGATACCAACTCACTCATTGACTGATTCTTATTTCCGTAGCCCAGCCTTTTGTCTGGAAACATCCCTGAATCTGTTAGGATCACGGCCAGACGACTCGTGGAAGCAGAGTGCAGGGGGGCAGTGCCTCCCAGGAACCTCGTCCTCCGCAGGCCGTGCAGCTGTGTGGCCTCCCATGACGTCGCAGGGGGTGCCACACTCACTCCTCTCCTACATTAGGAAGACGGGGCAACAGTGCCATGCGGGGACCTCGTGCCAGATGGCACCATCCATTTGGTGGCCATACCGAGGGCAGTTACGGCTTAAATCACTGGGTCCAGGACAGACCAGCCTGGCTGGGGTCTGTCAAATTCAGCCAAGCTAATCTGACTGGTTTTCTTTCCCCGAACTTCTTTGCAGTTAATTGCTGGGGTCTTTTCATCATCTTCTCTACTTCAAAGATTAGGCACATACTGCACTCACCATCAACTCTTTTTCCCCACATATGTCTTTAATTTGCTTAATTAATTTGCCCATCCGTCTCCGAGTGAAATGTTGTAAAGCTTCTAAAGTGGATTTCAACAAACAGTAAAGTCAATGACTGTTTTGGTGCCCGTGGGCAGCCCCCAGCCCATGAGCCGCAGCAGGGATCCGGGGGCTCGGCTTCCCTGTCCCTCACATTGTAACAGCACCAAAGAGCCACCTTAGGGTAGGAAAGAGCATGAGCAGGCTTCACTGCCAATCTCTGCCAGCACCTGCCTATGTCTCATCTCCTATTCTAGGAACACTGGCAACTCCTCTCCTTCTCAAAAGGGGAACAGGGAAATAAATCACCAGGGGGTCAGGGGAACAGCCAGTGGGGCAGCAAGAGCTCAGGAGAGAAAATCACACACACACACATGCACACGCACACGCACACACACCCTCAGTGGTTGGCTTCTGCTTCATTTATTAAGGGAACGCTACGAAGTCACCCGAAAGCTCAGGTTCCAGCTCCCACAGCCTTTAGGTACAGTCAGCGTTCCTGCGGACTGGGCTACAGAGACATCTGGTGGCAGATTTATAGCTCCTGCAAGGAGCCCTGCTCCATTCACTCCTTAGCAAGGGGTTGCTAAGACTAATGACTTTTCTCAGGCTGAGTCTATGAACATAAATCCCATTTCTTGACAGTTCTCCTTGTGTTGGAAAGGTCCCTCCTAAGTAATCAAGGGTCTACAGACTGAGGCCTTTAGGTGTTCAAAAATAAAGGGGAAAAGAAGGAGGTGTGGCAAAGGAACCTTAGAAAAAACTAAGGCACCCAACAGATTCTAGAACACATACAATATAGCTCAATTTTTCACTTTTCAAGACGAACTAATCCACAAACTAAAGCCTCATCCTGTGCTCGCACCTGTCCCTGCCTTGCTGCCTGCAAGGCGCTTCATCCTACCAGCGCTTCAGATGGGCCCGGTGCCCAGGACCATCCAGGGCCACCTGTTCTGAGACTCCCCACTCCCCGCTTCCAGTTTGAACTAATCAACTCGGCCTAGTCTCTCCGATCTCCATGGTGATGTCTCTTCAAACTTACACCTCCAGATGCATTCAACTCAGATCTCTTTCCAACAGACCTCACTGGAATTCTCTTTTACTAGAAATCTCTGCACCTGAAGAGATGAAAATTCCCTGCAACAATCACTTGTGATGATGGGCCTCTGGTTTCCTCCCGGGGGCCTCCTCTGCCGTCCAGTGTCTCCCTCCCTCAGCTCAGAAAGACCCACCTGAAAGTCAAGATCAAACCTCCCAACCCCTCTGGAGCTGGTGGAAACAGAAATTGCTGCAGTTATTTACATAAAGAGGGCTCATTATCATACTGGCTGCTGGGAGCCTCCCAAGTACCACCAACTGATGGACCAACTGATCGGAACTGGCTGGCACCGGCCTTCTGCTGGTATGCAGAGAAGGATCCATTTTGAACATCAACAGTAACAACCAAAAAATTTTATCTGATGGCCAGATTTCCATGAGCCTCTAGCAGGCCTCCAGTTATTTTGAAATAGTTAAAGCAAAGGCGGGGTAAGGTGATGAGGACAGAAAGAAGGCAGGGAAAGGCAGAACACAGGACCCCAAGGCAACCTGCAGAATTTTGATGTCCTGAGCCACTCCAGCCATCAGGGAGATCAGGGCAAAGTGTCTCACCTCTCACGGGGCCATCTTCCAACGGTCCCTTCCAGGGGGGTCTTCCTGAAGGACCCAGAGAACAAGAAAAACTACACTTCCCCAAGAACTCTGGCCATGGTAACAAACAACTCTCTTTGCCTGATAACTCACTCCAGCAACAGCAACCTGTAAATCCACACAATGTACCTGAAAATATTTTGTAACCCTCCTCTAGCTTCAAGCTGTGAGGACAGACAATGCCTATTCCCCTTCTTTTTGTTAAAATAAACTTCTATAGCTGAAAAAGGGGCCAAGTACTGAACCTGACAGGCTCAGGGAAGGCCGGCATGGTGGCGGCCTCACAAACTCGGAGCCTGAAAGCAACCACACAGGATGGTCTGAACATAAAAATTCCTAATGAAAAGCGGTCATGGCGGATAGTCACATCCTAGGCGTGTAGTTTCCTTGACAAAAGTCAGTCTTTACCTTAAGTGAGCCCATCTATTGTCTTTTTGCATCTGAGATAAGAAACCTTTGAAAAGTCAGAGCAATCTTCTTTGTCAGACCCTCAGGGCTGCACCTGAGCAGGAGACCACGGATCCCTCATTCACCGCTATCTTGTTCCCTTCACACCACCTCCACGTGCTGTGCAGGTTCACTGTTACCTCTCCTGTGCCCACCAATGCAAAAGAAGGATGTATTTTCCCATATTATTTTTTATCCAATCCCAGAGATTTCCCCACTTTGCTTTCTCCCGCCCCCCTAGTACACCACCGATGGATTTCATCCAACCCTTCCTAGGTCTCCTCCTTTGATTCTAATATATAAAATAAGCTGCAAAACTGCCATCTTCCAGTGCATTTTCTCAATCCATTGAGATCTTGCTCCCCAGCAATTGTCGTCAGTTTGGCTCAAATAACCTCATAAAAGTTCTCTCAGCTTTGGACATTTCTCGCGTTAACACCTTCTAGTGTGACTACCCCTGGGGAACCTGGGATCTGCCTACTCACAACAATAGTGGTGGTTTTTATGTTGATGGCACATGCTGAAGGTGAGAGTGGGCACTAGCAGCACCACAGGACTACATGGAAAGTTCCCCATGGCGGTGGCGGCCGTGTCTGAGAACCAAAGGGGAAGTTCAATGCGAGGAAGACCGAGTGACAGTACACGGGCCATCCTCAACTTTGCTTTGTTTTTATGAGTTCTTATAAACATCTGAGCTGGCTCAAAATTAACTGGCAAGAACAGCTCTTTAAACATGCAAAATGCAAAAGCGTTTCACTGCCTCTCTGCAAAAGCATCATAGGAAATAGTAATTTGTAACAAAGGCACCCTCAGATTCATTCACAGCCAAGCATAATTGACAGGAATGATTAACGCATGCTTTACAACGCCAGTGCTGTCGTGTGCTAAACCACAACACGATTTGGGCAGATTAATTCCTCAAAACACTCGTCCCAATCATGTCTTAAAAATCCACACTCCCTGCATTACCTCTCATGCTGACCATTCTACTTATTTTATTGGACTGGGAAAGAATAACATACAGGACACCTCATTTTCAGAAAACCTATGGACTTCTGGCTTGTCTCAAGGCAACAAGTTCGACTGAATAATAGTTTAAATACTATATTCTTTCTCTAAAATTGCAGTTTGACCTTAAGGAAACCACAGCCCAAAATAAAATAAATTCTCTTTAATTTTCTGAATGCTAAACCAACGAAATGCAAGTACTAATTTTAAGGGCACATGGATTAAGATTTTTTTAAATGGTGGACAAATTTGAATTAGAATAAAAGAAATCAAATACATAGTTAAATATGACTGAAAATGAATATTTTAGTCAAAAATTCTATTGTATAAAGTGTTTTTCTAAGTTTACATCATTTTATCCAAATACATGCTAATCTCCTGGAATACTATATTTAACTATAAGAGAGCTACACTTCCATTTCTATGACAAAGAAAGAATTTTGATCACAAACCTGAGCTCTAAATTAATTATAAATGAGATCTGTTAAGATCACGATAGGAAACTAACTACTAGAAAAGATTTTTTAGAGGCAATGTGTGTACATAAATATTTAATTCAAAAATTTAATTAACATTTTGAAAGGTATATTCTTGATATATTTAAAGGTGATATTGAGTTAATCTGATATATTCCAATAACATTGAACAGCTTTTTTTTTAATTGCATTTTTCATGCACTAACATTCACATACCTTGGTTTCCGACTCAATTAAAGTGCCAATACAATCACCATCCATCACAAAAGCAGCTCTTTATAACGTGCAGAACAGTCTGGCTTGGAGGCTGATGTCCTAATGAGTAGAATGTGTGCATGCTAATGTCGTTTTTTTTCTAAGTATAGTTTTATTGGAGAAATAATTTTCCACTTCAAAATTTACTGGATCTCACAGACAGGGTTGGATTTATGGCTGTTAACAGAGCCATGAATGTGGCAGAGGCAACATGGTTAAGAACACTGACGCTGGACCTGGAACCAA